ACATCCTACTTTATAAATCCCATAATAAAAGAGAGTCCTGGCGTTACTAACTGATCGTTATCCTAGTCTGGAACTTTACAATGAAGTAGTTCGCAACTTCTGTTCTGATCAGGCTGCATCCTAGGAAAACAAAGTATATCCACGACGGAGGAAAATCGTTACCTCACCAGCCGCTACTGCACGCCGTCGTAAAGCAAAAAGAGTTCTTACTTTATAAACATATTTGCGTAGCGCTCTCTCGCTCTCTCTCTCTCTCTCTCTCTCTCTCTCTCTCTCTCTCTCTCTCTCTCTCTCTCTCTCTCTCTCTCTCTCTCTCTTTTTTCCCCCTCCCCCTGTCTTTTCCTGTCTCTCCCAGTCTCTCCGTGTATCTCCCTCTCTTTTTCTCTCTCTCTTCCCCCCTCTCAGATTTTGTATACCGTTCGAAAGGTAGACTTTTTGGATTAATAAATAGGAAGTGCTTTTAAGAACTTCCAACGAGAGTCGAAGCTCTTCTCACCTTTTTTATTTGCAGCTCGTTGTCGATTCATCCGTCTGTTACAACTAGCATACTTGATAATTGTAATAGTTAGGCGATTTTCATTCTATTTTACTATTTGAAATGATATTATTTCCATAGACGTATATAATATTATAAACTGCGCGTTTGGCTGAAGCAGTCTACAGACTTTAGAAAGAAACAACATAGGTACTTTGCGTGGTCGCCCTCTATCATTCCCCTTACTCTTCTATTACCCTCACTATTTATTAGACAAAGATGAGGCGACCACTCAACTGTCAGCTATCTCGTTCTCAATACGGGAGAGGTAGGGAACGCGCAGTCTATTCTTACTATATCCATGATTATTTCAGATCTATCAAGTGTGGCAGCTTGCCTAATGACGATTCGAACATATTAACATACTGTGAATACTGCAAAACGATATGAAAATGGGAGAATATGAGAAAAATTAAAAGATAAACTTTGACCGATCGAAATGGGGCATGTTAGATATTAATCGACAGTCAACGGTTAATTAAATTGGCTGGTACCGTCAAGCGTCGATTCTAACGCTACCAAGATTAAATGCTGACGATCGTAAATCTTCGCCGTAAAAGCTAAAGAATTGTGTCTGATTTATCACCCACAGTTAAGTTAACGTATGGCGGTGTCGAAAAAGCCGCGGTAATATATGTCGTAAATTGAAAAGTAACCTCCACCGAGGGAATGCGAGCTGACCTGTTAATTCTTGACGATCGTTTTATCGAGTCTTACTTAATTCAGCGTACTATCCCCCTTTACTTAGCGCTGCGCGGATAGAGGAGGCTGCCCACGAGATAATTAAACTCCTGGCTTGGCCCGAATGCCCGGCAAGTATTAATGGAATTTATAATGGTCTTTTTGTGAGGGCGCTTTAAGCCGACGAACCGTGAAACTCTCCCCTCGAGTGGCAGACCTAGAGATCGTTTCTGAATGACGATGATTTTGAAACGCGATAACTGTTCACTGGAGTACCAATAAGTTCAGATCCTGCAGGCAGATTGAAACTTGGAGGATCGGTGCCTGCAGAATAATATGCGATTCTTTGTAATTTTGCTGTACAATTAAAAAAATTGCCATCCACTATTCTTTCGTTACTATAAAGCTCTTTCGCAAGTAAAAATGTCTATTATAAAATAGACGCCACAATTTTCGCATTCACGATTATCATTTTTCCCCAAAGTACTCTCCGCAAATTTTCTCTGCTCTGGTCAATAAAGGAAATTTATCTTGTGATTTTAAGTTGCTTCCACGAGAAAGCGCTTCCTTGCCGATTGTGCCACGATTTACCGTACACCCTGTATAGATTTATAGCCGTATGGCGAACTCGCCGGATACTTTTTGACGTCAACGATTTTCGATCGCTGAATTTTCTTCGCCGGGGGTAACTCGATTCGACGCGCGACTGTTTGTTATGCCGTACGAATGTGATGACAACGACGACAACGTTCTCGGAATACTCTCATTCCTGTCCAGCGTCCCGGGATGAATTGGATTTTTACGGCCACGAAGTAGGCTAAGGAAATAAAGGGCGAAGGGGGTGGGCTGCGGCGGCGGCGGCGGCGGCTGCGGATTCGAGAGAATGAGCGACGCCGGGCCGGAATCGAATAACAACGCTTCCTTGGGAGTGCCTCGGCCTCAGTCGGAATAATAAGGAGTCCGTTCCCCCGAGATCGAGAAAATCGATCGCACCCTATCACGTCCATCTCGCATTATTGCCACCGGCTGTTTCCGACAACCCGCCTCCATCCCCCTTACGTGACGACGCTTGAATGTGGCTACGCTTGACGGGGCGCTATGGTCCAGCGCTCAGGGCCGAATTAAAGATTTTATAAATAAAAGCAACTTGTCGAAACGTATTAAACTCTCGAAAATTTTGCAATTTTTTTTTAGCGTTTCTTACGTACAATGCTATGACTTTATTCAATTAACGATACTTTATACATTATGCTTTGCGTCATTCTTTTTCGGGTGTTACGCTATGAATGAATTAATTTAATTACTTGAAGTTTAGCGATATATTTATAGCAGTATTTCAAGTAAGACATTTAACGGGTAGCGGTTATTAAAAACGTTACATCGCTCTCTTAAGAAAATTTCTTGCGCCCGAAGAAATATAAATTATTTTCTTTCCTCGTGTTTTAATTCAGATTATTTATCTTCTTCAAAGAACTTCCTTCAGTTTTGCCGATCTTATTTTTCAGTTTGTAGTAAGTGTTGCAAATAAAAGTAGAAGAGATAACATATCTATAACACGCAAAACAACATATATCACAAAAGATTTTATGTGCTGCGTTTCTGAAGTTGTTGGACTTAAACGTTTCTTCGTCTTAAACGGTGTCCGCTAATGCCATTTTCGTGCCTTTCGAATTTGTAGAACTCTGCTTACTGTTAGACAATGCAATCCAGCCCTGTAGATTGCCTGGTGTTCGCAAGACGGCGTCAAAGCGTTCGAGCAAATCGGAAGGGAAGGAAGAACGGCGGTGGTAACCGGAATAACACACGCCGATGAAATTATCCTTCTCGCGAAATTGGAGAAGAAGTAATTTCGGGGTTGTCTATTTTTTCTTACGAAAGTAGAGACGTGCAAAATTTCATTTGTCACTTCCGCGAGCAAGGGCGAACCAGAGAGCACGCAGCCCTTCCGTAACCAGCTCTAAGCGCATGGCAGTGAATCGTGTTGAAAAAAAAAGAAGGAAAGGGAAGGAAGAAAGAAATAAAAGAGAAATAAGGAAAAGCGAGGGAGACTCGATACGGGGAGAGACTGGGGCGTATTATCGTTCACGTAAATGGAATCATTGAAACCACGTGCACGCTGTACGTTTCGCCGTTCATATATCATCTCCCGCAGTTTTCTTCCGCCCCGCGATGATCAATCGTGATTATTCGCGTAACATACGGGATCCGAGCACGCCGTGCATTCGCGCCCCGTGATTTATTCTTTCGAGCTCTGCTGCGCGCAGAATAATCAGTCTAACCGCGTTTTCAAAAGAATTTGTAAACAGCCGCTGGCTCAGCCTCGCATTTCAGAGTCACCTTACGCATTCATGCGCTCGATACGAGATACTTGCCTTTGAGAGTCGATGGTGCATGCACCAGGTTAATTTTCACTCGCATCTCTGATGCGCGCCCTGAAAAATTAATACGTTGTCTGACGCCAAACAGCTACGCTTCCCCCGAGCTAGCACTTTCCCGACATTTAAGCTCGTTCTTCGAGAAACGGCGCTCTCTTTCCCGGCACAGTATTTCTCCCGACTCAAAGGGCAGCATCTTAATTTCATCCTTTTAAGCGAATCTTTAGTGACTAAAATTGCATCTCAGATATGCCTACACCGTGCACAAATATTTATTCCATTAATCACTTAGGGTTTCACATACCTTAAGAACGATTTTCAAGCTATTTTCGAAAACGTCACGTCGATAATGAGCTTTTCTCTTTGCGTAAATATTAATGCGCTGATCTTATCAGCCGAACCCATTAACCAGCTAAGCAAGAGATAATTACAGAATGTTCATAAAGAAATTCGTTAGTCGAGGAATTAGCGAATGATCTTCTATCAAAGATTTATCAAACGTGTGGCTTAAAATGTAATTTAAATTATTATTCTCGTTCACAAAGCAAGCCGTCTCCTCGGACATAAAATCGCGGCCAGTTACGGAGCTTCCGAATTACTTAAATCGTACCTTCAGCGTATACCTTCTAACGCGATAATGGTGAGATACAGACTATTCAATGGCACGTATAGTCTCCGCAAGTGGAATTCAATTTCTGCTAGTCTATTCGCGTGATAGCGATCACGCTGGTCCCAATACGTGACCCAATATGTTCGCCGAAGCTTAGAACACCTCGCTCGCTCATTGAGCTGGACCTATATACACGCAATCTGTCCATTTATTTGTTCTGCCTACACTTCTGAATCGCCGTTGCCATTCCGTAAGTAATAACGCTTTCGATTACATAGGCGAAGCCGCAATGGCGGTGAAAATCTAAAATATGATGTATACATAAAAGTCCACTTTAGACGATGTATAATTTGTATTATTTCGGGGGAGAATTCTATTCGCAAGTTTATATGCCATGTACCTCGATATAGAAGCGCATATCTGTCTCTCTGAGTTATGCAACAAGAGAACAAAATTTTTTTTACCTGAAAAAAAGAAGCTTTCCATTAAAATTCATTTAATATTTCAAGAGTTGAAACATAACAGACTTGTCACTAATTGGAGTCACAAAAGGATTAAAGAAAGTTTTAATTACGGTTACGCAACATTAATAATTAAAGAAATTTACGCGACAAATGGCTCCCCACGCGTCTCGTGTTTCCGCAGCTCTTTTTTTACGTCAAGGCAGGCGAAATGAATGCAGAGTGCATCGTAAGTTTGAGAAGAGCAAATATTTATTTAACAATTACAACGCAGGGCGAGAAGTGACCCGGGTTAAGCGTTTTACCGTCGTATATCACACTTAGGTTTCTTGACGCCTTCAGTGGTGCCCGTAACCGCCATATGTACCACCATGATGGTTATTACCGCCGGAATTGTGGACGTGGGCAAAAAATCCTCCGTGCGGATCAGCGTGGTAGGTCACGGTTCTGGTGTTACCGCCCGGTTCCTTGACGGTGTACTCGCCGACGACCTTTTTGCCTGCAAACGAAAAAGCACCCTTGCACCAATATGCGATGAATATTGTAGTGACCGCTCGTGAGCGCGCATTAATTGTAGAAAATTAAACACGCGGATGTGTGTCATCGATATTACCGTAATGCACGTGCCGCATATTACGTTGCGTCAATATGACTACCGTCCCGATGTTTAATTAAAATGGAGCGCACCGAAGCGCACCGCGATGTAATCTGACCCCGTCATTTATAATCTTTAACCACCCGGGCGCGGCTACGCAAACAAAGTGAAAAAATAAAAATAAAATGCGAGTGGCGAGGGGGGGGGGGGGGGAAATATTGTGTCGATAAGTTTAAACGCGCGGCTCTACGCTCGGCTTATTGCGATTCAGAGTCGCGCTTTCGAATATCTCCCCGTCCCGACGAAGATCCGCCAGACGAACTTTTATCGAAATTTTTCAGAAACTTTCGGTAACATTTAGACCACGGCATTTTCCGCGCTGTTGCGCGAGCGTCGTAAAAAATTCAACAACTCATTGCATGATTACATAAATTTTAATAAGTTTGATGCTGAATAATTTACAAAGTTCAATTTATCGTTAAAAAACGACTCAGTTTAAAATACAATAGTCGTATACATTGAATCATAACAATTATCCACATCTCTTTTAATGAGAGAGCGAATGAAGAAACTACTGGTTCCTGTAATAATTCTATCACAATTTAAACAATTGAAACAGTCAACTGTTATTACTTTGAGCCCGCAAGTTATACGGGATTTATTATTATAAGTTTTGTTCTCTTAATGCCACGTTTTTCCATCGGCAATTTTATATTAAGTAAAGTTCCGGTTTACCGTCTCTGTGTTCTTTCTGTCCATGGTAATCGCCGGTGTGATGATCCTCGACTCCATACGCGAACTCGTACTTGGGATGTGCGACGTAGTCTACATGATGATGTCCGTGCTCATCGTGGACAACCACTTCGTGACCAGGTCCTACGACCGGGCCATGAAAGTGCGCGAAGCTGTGAGCGTGCCCTGCCAATCCACTTTGGATCGCTGCAAGGACCGATACAGCCAATAACAGGGCGAGCTGCCGACAAATTGTTGCCATTTACATATATTCTCGCACGTGGAGCCAAGTTTAGGGTTTCGCACTCAAAAGCATTTTTTCTACGACCGACTGTAAATGGGGGACTCTTCTACTTTATGGATCGCGCGGGAGCTGTGACAAACAAGTTATTATGATCCAATATAAAAGCACGTGAAGTTTAGAATTCGATTAAAAAAAAGTTGCAGCAAAATAAAATATATAAAACAATATTTAGCAAACTGTACATTGAAAGCAAATAGAATGTGTAAAAACATTGAAAATGCTTTATTAAAAAGTTACCAGTAAACAGAAAAATAATACTTTGTGTTGTTAGCGTTAATAGAAATTTATACAAGAGATTTTATTCTATTATTTATGAAACGTTGTGCAGTATTTAAAATTAAATCGAAGCTTGATACATACGTTTTGCACCGCAATAACGATTAACGACGAACATGTCAAACTTCAACAGAGACAAACCTTCGTAGCCATGTCGTCGGGCACTGATTCTTAAAATGCGAATGATACCTTCGTCGATACCGATGAAAGTTTATATAGTGCCCACCGGCGTTCATTTTTGCTGAGAGAATTTCGCCACCGTTATTTAGCGGACGTACAGAACGGTCCCTGCGAACGACAAAAACGCGACGTGAACCAATCGCTTTCCTATGCATAAGATTGGGCACTCCTGCGATGAAACGCCGCCACACCGAAACGCCACGCGTGTGGATGCCCGTCTCGTTGACACAGCAGTCGATTTCGCTCTATCGATTGCGTTGCGGAAGTTTTTTTTTTCCCCCAAAAGTCTCGAAACGATTGACTTTTATTGGCGATCGTAGAGGAGCATCGAAGCGCGCGAAGGCTATGTTCGAATATGGTAATGGATCGTTCGAGACTGAGGAAAATTAACTTTTTCAATGTACACCGAGTCTTCTTATTTTTTCAAAAACTCTGAATTTTTCGTTTGTTTCTACATGGTGAATTAAATGTATATTTCTACATACATGGATTATGAGTCACATTCATAATTGAAGACATTGGAAGTAGATAGATTAAATAACGACGCAAATTTGCGACACACACAAATTCATTTGTTAATTTAGCAAAAGTATTGCAGATCCTATAATAATCTTCAAAATAGAAGGAACAGAGAAACGTTGCCTAAACTTGAAATTTACAATATTAAACGATTAATTGATATAATTTTAATAAATATTGGTCCTTTATACAGTCAACTTTTATTCAGAAAAAAAGTTATCTTAACGATTTGCTCTGCAGATCTGCTCTAAGGATAAACATCGTGTCGAAGAAGAAATCGTTAGTACAATCTCTAGATAAATCAGTGAATTTGAAAATGAACACCTAGCAATTACTCCCCCGCGATAAAAATGGCAGTAATCGATAATTAAATCATTACGAGCGATTGCTATTAGTTTAATAGCCGCTGTCGCCTTCCAGATCACAATGACTAGCTTCATTATCGGAAAATTTCACTCGCGCCGCGTGTAACAATAACCTATTTACGCTACAAATGCGTTACACGTGTAACGTGCACCGTGATGAAATTCAAGCACGTGATACGCTTGATATCAGAGATTTAACCTTCTCATCCGTAACTCCGTTGCCTCCGCGCCGGCGGAAAGGCAAAGTGAACGCGCGTTACGGGCATATCCGATGCACCAAATAAAGTCAAGCTCTCCGATATAAGCGGCTCTGATTGTGCGAGGTAAAGGCAGGCCGTTTCAATCATCAATTTGCATAAAAGTCGGCGGATTTGCTTGCATACTTCGATTACTTTATACATATTTGCGAAACGACCTGCAATCTCGCTAATTGCAGAAGCAGCTGCGAAACCTAAAGGCTGAAGCGCAGCTTTTCTCGCGGGGGATCCCGATGGGACTTTATGCACCGAGTAGATTTCATACTCGGAAAGAACCATCTCTGGAGCCACCTCGGGTCTGAGAAAAAGAGCAATCTCGCGCAGTCAACTCGTAATCCATCCATTTGCCTTAGAAATAACCGTATCGACCCGCGCTGAACGCCGCTACGCGCATTCGTATCGTACATGAGGGAGTACATAGTGTCGCATTAATGACGTCTGGCTCGCGTTCCCTTCGTACATAACTTAATCTAATTTATTACTTTATCTCGTTGATGTTCGGGCTGATCTTGATGGATCGGGCGGCAGGCAGAGGGTGACAATTACGAGAATTATGTTTAATAAAGGGAGAGAGCAGAACAACAAAGATTTCGGCTCCGTTGCTCGTCCTCAAGCAGTAAGATGATCTAAAACTCCAAATTACTCGTCGCGGACACATAAAATTATAATAACAAGAAAGGATCAATATTGAGCCTATAATTTTTTCTGCGCCATATTTAAAAGAAGGCACAAATTAGCCCCCTCTTTGTCCCCGTCGAAGGGCAAGCGCTCAAGAGCTTTAACTTGCTATTCCAATTAGCAGCGAATACTAATATAACAAGGATCTTGCAACAGATTAGCGATCGCATAGCAGTAAGAGGCCACAGGCAATATGTTTGGCATTACAGTGGCTTTGTACGAGACAGTGAGTTATCGGATAGGGAGATATCCATTCGCTGTCAAGGCACGGGCGAGAAATGACGGTGCGTCCGAATGGCGCGCGAGACGTAGTTCTAAATTAAACAGATACAACCCCCGTCGCGTTTTCCTCAGCGCGAAGTCACGCGAACTTGACATCACGCTTACACACGCGTGACAATCTCCGCAATCACAAACAGCATCTTTCGTCGACGCGTCGCCTCACACAAGCAACGTAATCGACATGTGGGTGCGCGGCATTATCTAAGCTAACTATCAGTCTCATACGCAGATTAACGTCTCCAAGACAGATTACATCGTATCTGATCTTGCCTATGTGACCTTATCAATCTGTTGAAATGTACTACCATTTCCCCTTATCTGCACGTTCTCTTTACGGCGGCCCATTACCGTTCCCTATGGAATTTAACGCCGGGTAAGCTTGAGCGTTTGATACTCTAAAATACGCTTTTCAATGTATCCCGACTCACTTTGACACAATAACGTAAAACTTCAGAAGATTATTTGACCATGTCTGGCAAATTTCAATGTTTCAACTCACAACGCTTCGGCCATGATTTGTGGCCCTTTTCAAGTGTCAATAATTTCGTATGGTGAATCAAGAGAATAGATTTTAATTTCACGAACGGCAGAACATGACTGAGTACAATAAGTCGTACTTCTATGGAATTGGATATCCAAAGAATTTGGTAATTTAAAATATTTTTTTGTAGCCTCAGTATATCAATTGATTCTCTCTTCTTGCGTTTGGAGGGTTGAGAATTGATAAGCATAACGTAGCAGCCGCCCGAAGGGTAACGTGCGGACAAGAATATATGCGACGGGTAGCGTGAACCATGTCATTAACGTGCTCCATTCTAGCGAGGGTTCAAAGAGAATACGGAGGCATGTAAAGAGCTGTACGGCACTCGCGGTTCTTACTCAAACTGCTGTGCTTGATGAGCAACCACGACATTCAAGTTAAAATCATATTCCTTGGACGGTGCAGCGAGGACTGGAGGAACATCAATTATGCTAATAAGTCTTCGCCTGATTGTCGCCTGATCTTCGATGCGGCAATTTCGAGCGAGTGACTCGAAAGATCCTATGGGATGTGGAATTGGAAGACGAGTGACTCGGCATGCACACGGTGTTATATATGTAAAATCACATTATTCCACATAGAATTTTACACTGAAGTTTTCATTTCTTTTAGAGGCAATCTTGCATGCAACACGCAGCGTTCGTATCTGGCAAACGTGAGAATAATCATCGTTACTTCTGAATGATAAAACGTAATGTTACAAAGTGTTTGTTATGAAAGTTTTACGCTGGCTAGCTAGAAAGTAGCAAGAGGAAGAAACTCTCGTAACCATTTATGTTATATACAATGTTATATACAACCATATAATGTTATATTTTCATTGGTTGTTTATATCACATTGACGATAGCGATAATAATCCTACCAGTTGTTAGTCGAAACCGAGGGCAAGGATTATAAGCTCGGAAATGTTGCGAAATGTGAAACCCCGGCTGCTCGCTCCGGGGAAATTCAACGTTTCTATCTCAGCACCGACCCATCTCTATACACAGCTGTAGCCTCCGCTAAGAGAACTTAATAGAAATTGTCGAAGCGTTTGCGCAATGCGATTATCCGCGTTAGAAACCAGCGAGATTGGCAACGAAATTGGCGACGAAATTGGCAACAAAATTGGCGAGGCCCGGGTCAGTAACACAATGGTCGGACCGATCTCCTTATAGAACGAGCAATCCTGCTCGCCGCGATTGTTCGACGAGAGGGCACGGAATTTCGGCTTCGCTCCCTTCGCCCTCGCCACGCCACCTCGTTTTCCCCGCCGCGGTGAATTTTGCGCTTCCTTCGACAGCCACCGCGGTCGGTCCGTCGCGCGTTGCTGACTCGAGGGGTCGAGGATGCGCGGAAACGTGATTGGATAAAAACATGTTGCGGCGTGCTGATGAGAGAGATCGGCCAACTCGCTGCATTCGGTCAGCAGAAGCCGAGCAAGCAGTCCGGCTCGTTTTGATGAAACGGGATCACGCGATTGCGGTAAAACCAGGAATGAATCTCAAAGGAGGATTCACTTTAGAAATTAAGAAGTAGTTCCTAACATTTTTATACTGACGCAATCTTGGTGCAGAAATTACGCCGTATTTCTTCAGTCTCATATTACAGTCTCAGTTTTTTTTTTAAACAGATTTCAACTGTTTCCTTTTTATTTAAAATGTTTGGTAATTTACATACAGCGCTTGTTGTTAAAAGGCATAAAGGATTGAAATTACATTAAAAAAATATATGCAATAATTGATATACAAAGTAATTTTGTAATAACATCTTTTATTGACACAATATATGTTTTTATTTACCGCAAACAGGTAAATTATTTAACAATTATTTCAACAACACATATATAATTCACAAAATGTAAAAACATTTAACAATATATTGGCTACGATCGCGTTTGTACCGAATGCAGGCTCGCTTATAATGTTATCCCCGTTAGTCACCCTTAGCTTTTTCATTAATCATTTTATCGATAATTATTCATTATGGTATCATTCAACTATCGATGTTTATGACCGCCGTACGTGCCACCTGAATGATCGTTCCCGCCGTAGTTATGAACTTCGGCATAAAACCCGCCGTGAGGATCAGCATGATATTTTACACTCCTGACATTACCGCCGGGCTCATGGATGTGATATTCGCCTTCCACATGTTTGCCTATGGTTCACATCATAAGCAAATTAATATTGACATATTTGATTAATCAATGATGTCTATTGACACCACCAGGTCTTGTAATTACGATTACTTGCTTTCACAACGAATTATAAAAGTCTAATATTGTAAACACATTTTTTATTAACTGTGAAATATATGAAATCACGCACTGAAAAAAATTTCTGGTTGAATATGAACGAATCAGATAATTCCTTTAGGATTTACCAGAATTCCTTTAGGATTTACCAGAATTTCTGTAGGATTGCAGGAATTCTGGTAAATCCTAAAGGAATTCTGGTAAATCCTAAAGGAATTATCTGATTCGTCCATATTCAACCAGAAATTTTTTTCAGTGCGTAGAAAGAAAAATGAGAAAAAAGTCTTTGAAATTAATTAAAAACGTTTAAATAATTTGTTCGCGGTAACAAAGAAGGTGAAAGTTTCCTGCATGATTTATAATGCTCTCTGTGATATTCATCACAGACAATATAGTGTTATTTACGTGTATATAGTGCACAAAGCGGAGATAAGAATAAAATAGTATTTAGACTGGACGAAGATATAATAGAAACTCGTGTATCTCCCCATACGTTCCAATTAAATTCGCGTTTACGCAGGCAGTTACACGTTTCCCAGGTACGCCGATATCGGAACAGCTTCGCCGTAAGCTCCGTGCATTTCATTCGTCGGCTTTGCCAGAGAGCTTTCCCAACGAATGCGTAATAAACTCCTATACTCTCTCTCTCTCTCTCTCTCTCTCATATCAGTCACAATTAAATTTAACAGGCGCACACCGAATACGAACGAGCGCGAAGGGGTTCTCGCATTTTTGCTAAAAGCACGCCAGAAAAGTGACGGATGTATCCACTGCGGGCAGCAACATATCGAGGTAAGAAACGAATTTGGTCCTTCCTGGGTTCTAATTAAGAGCAGGGCCAGCTATCCAATTACTTCGAGATTCTAATTAAGAGCGCGAGATCGAATTGCATTTCACTACCTCTCTGGCTCCGGATCAGTATTGCGCGATACATCTAGGGTTGCTACACCGATACTTTGACAATAAGAGAAATTGATGCTACACGTACGAGCCTTTGAAATCAGCATTAAAAATATCAGAAGGTACCGTATCAGCTTTACGCGATTATTATTGGCAATTATCGACAGCGATGGTGAAAGAATTATTATTTTTATATCAAAAGGAGCTTGATTATTCTCTCAAGTACCGGCGTAACACGCGATAACGATATTAATGTACACGATATAAAATTTATAGATTCTAAAGCCTTGGATGGGGAATATCGAGAGATTCTCACTCACCATCGCGGTGTTCCTTCTGTCCATGATGGTCCTTGGTATGATGATCGTCCACGCCATAGGAATATTTGTACTTAGGATGAGCCTTGTAGTCGTGATGATGGTGCCCATGTTTATCTTTCCAAGCTATCTCCTCGTGATGGCCCATTACCGGTCCGAGAAAATGATGATACGAGTACGCGTGGTCGTGACCGCCATGCCCGTTGCGATCTATATCCGCGGTCCGTTCCTCGTCGTTGTCTTCCTCTACGATCGATTTCGCATAAAACTATTGCATTCTCCAATTTCATGAATAACGGAATATCCCGTTACAATTTTGGCAACGTTTCGGCTTAATGTAAGATTAAGATGAATTCGCGCGCCGGGCCGACACACCTTTCGCCAATGCGCGTAATTGCATCCTCCGCGTGACCGATTTCATGAATTAAACCGAGAGGCACTCACCCACCGCATTTTCCTCGTACATCCTGGGGAAGCTCTTAACAGCGACAGCGACGAAAACGACGCAGACAATCAATTCCTGCAAAGCGAGGAGGGACATTCGGGCGTCGTGTAAGCGGCCGACAACGCCGCCCGTGAAGTACTGTTCGCTGTTAAAGGTAAATTGGTGGCCGCGAATAATTGGAAAAGTTAATCTCTTAAATCTGATCGAGGAGGAGAGAAGGGAAAGGGAGGGACAGGGTAAGCGAGTGAGAGCGAGAGAGAGAGATGAAGGGAGGGAGGAAGAAACCGCGCGCACAGGAAGCAAAATTCATTTTCATCGCCGACGGCGCGTGGTGTGTGGTGGCGTGTAGTAGAAAATTACCGAAAAAAGTCCCGCCATTATTCTTCCGTTCCGAATATGTGCGCCAGAACGGGACTCGCCGAGACGCTTTTACCGCCCACATAAAGACCTCCGAAACACTCCGCGCTCGCTACTTTACGGTCACGACTGCGTGATACTTTGTTCAGCGCGGCCTGGGCTACGGCGATTCGTTTTATGGAAGCTACTGGCAATCCCCCCCCCCCGCCCCGAGGATCGATGAGATCGGCGAAACTTGAGATTGGATCGATCGTCCTGAGTTTGAGGTCGGGACCGCGTCTTCGCCCGCGGCCAGGTAAAAGTGCTGAGCCCTTCGTGTTATTCTTCACGTTATACGTTGTAGTTCTTTGCCCGGGCGGATCATGAAAGGTTAATATCCGTCCACTTCCCGCAAATTGGATATCAAAGAGAGAGAAGAGAAAGAAGGAGAGATAGAGGGGAGGGGGGAGGGGCTTCGGACTCTTTCGCGATAAAATGCGCCGTTCAGGAAATTTCCAGCTGCACTTGAAGCAAGTTTTATTAAAATCTTTTGGGGTGGAATATCTTCCTTTCCTATTTTTTTTACACCCATAATATTGCTTTAAATTGTAATATATTAGTTTTCGATTTGACCGTATTTCTCGCCTCTAGTCTGATACGATTAATACTTTTTCCAATACTCGACTCGTGAAACAAGAAGAGAAGAAACGTTATGTGGTATGCGTAGGCTAGAATGAAAGATCAATAAGTCTTTGTTATAAGACTTTATTACAGCGTTTTATAAAGATGGATAGCATTATGCAGCCTTTTCTCGGTAAAGCGACTATTGTACGACGGTACGACTTTTTAAGTTCCCAATGGGCAGTATTTTGACCTCAAAAGAAATTATTACATGACAATGCGTGGCCAGGACACTTTTAATTAAGAACATCCCGTTTTCCTATAAATCACAGCGAACTAGCTCGATTGTAAAATATGTTGGAAAAACGTGAAGAGAGCTGCTTATATTAATCAGAGCTTACAATTGCTCGATTAACATTGACGCCACTGTACTTTCTGCAATTTGAATCAATGCGTTGCTATAATTGCCACTGGCAAACTTTTAATGTAATTACCACTTAAGGGGATGCTGGAGTGGTTTGATTTACCGACAGAGTCGCATACAGTTTTTGGAGGTTTGTAAAGAAACGTAACCTCAATATGTCATATTATAGATACAAATTAAAATAATTATGTAGCATTTATGTACAAACTAATACCAGACCAAAGTGTAGAATGCATAGTAGAACATTTTCATATAAAAAACATTGAGGTTTGAAGTCTAATTCGTATCGCATTAT